TTTGTTTTGGCTCCCAGTACAAAAAGTGAACATGTGCACACACATATCAAAACAGTGCAATAAGTAAGGAATATGTACAGCAAATAGTGCAAAACTAGGCATGTACAGCAAACAATGCCAACAAATATGAACAAATGTCAGGGTAAAGCAGTAAGCAGAAATGTACAGAGATTAAAGCAGAAATTAAACGTTAATAAATGAATAAATATTGAGGTAGAAGTCCTTTGTTATTGCACAATCAACCCTGAATGTGTGAATGTGTGAATGTGTGTGGATGTGCGCGCATGGGGCCCTGCGATGGACTGGCATCCTATCCAGGGTGAACTCTCTCGCCATGCATCAAGTGTTCATAGGATAGGCTCCAGATTCACTGTGACGATGACCAGGATAAGCGTTTATTGAAGAAGAATGAGTGAATTAATGGACAGAGCTTTAGCCCTATATCTTCTATTTTTAAAAAACACTATATTAACACTATATTACCACAAAATAAATAAATAAGTTCTGGCACGAAATTCCTAAGAGTTTGCGCCATGAAAAAAAAGACAAATGTAAATGTTAAGGTTAGGGGTTAGGATCAGGGTTAGCATTCATGTCTGTATGTTAGGTGGCCGGAGCGTGGTTTTTGCTTAATTAAAATTAAACCAGTCTACTGATTGAACAGTGAAGCATTTAAAAACAAAGACAAAAACAGTATTTTTTTTTTTCAGAACATATGATTTGCATGAAAGATGAAAGGGAAAGATTTTGTATGCTTTAGGGGTTGTGTAAAAGGCAGAAGACAAGGATCAATATTCATCTCCAGGCAAAAAGTAAAAGTCAAAAGAGCATTCCCTCTGAGTGAGAAGTCACCATCTATTTCATTCAAGAATATCAAAGATAGCAGCCAGCAAGGAAGGCTGTATCTTTTCAAAGCTTTCTTTGGCTGTCCTTTATGTCAGGTTATGTTCATATCAACCAGATCCTCTTATCTCTGTCTCAGCTGAGGAAGGCAGAAAGCTGTGCGATT